GATTTCAGCCTATTTTTGAGGCTGAATTTAAGGTGTAAACGGAGTCAGACCAATTAAAAAAGGACAGACTTATGCAAAATATATGGGCTTAATTTAAGGTGTAAACAGTTTAAGACTTTGTTTTTACTGTGTTATAGCTGCCCAATCAGAGATTTTCCGCTGATTCAAATTTAAAGAGTACTTGAAACAAATAATTTTTATTTGAATTAAATAAATTGTATTTGAACCAATAATTTCTGTATTTGAAAAAAATACCATCTCAAATAATAATTATTTGATGCGAATAAATATTCATTTGATAATAGTCAAGTAATCGAGTGAATCAAATAAATTTTTTTTTCAGTGTAAGTAGATATAATTTGTAAATTTCGACCGTTTAAAAATTAAAAGGGGAATATAAAAATTATTTTTAATTCTAATTATGAGATATTTCTAAAAGTAAACGAGAGTAAAAAAAAGAGAGAAAGGGTAGAAATCGTTGAATATGGTTCTTTTCAGATAATTGAACGAATCGTTATTTTTATCGAATGTACCAAAATGTGTATTCACTTGCAAAAAGTTATACCTGATATTAAACACAAATATTAAAGTGAACCAATAATCGAAGAAACCTCTAAATTAATATAGAATTGTTCAAAACTGTTTTATTTAAAAAATCATTGGTTTATCTTTTATATTAAAGAAATATTTTTTTTATTCAAATATAATTTTTTAATACACTGTAAAAAGAAGATCTTATTTTCAGATGAGTCTTAAAATCAGCGCTAGTAGCTCTAATGGAAAATGCCGAGGTGGAATTTTCTTAGACACTCTTCCTGTAATACTTGTGTAATAACGTGTAATACCGTGTAATAATGCTTTATTATGGTGCTGTAATAACGCAAAAAACTCTGTAATATCTCTGTAATAACGTGTAATACTTAGTAATAAGGGTAATATGAGGTGTAATACCGGTAGTCAAGTGTCCACGTTTTTAACTAGTAAATTCCCCCTAGGAAATTGCATTGCGTAAATCAGCAAAGCTGCCTTAAAAATGTTGCCTCTTAAAATAAGACCTCTTTTCAGCCTTAAAAAAGACTTTCTTTTTACAGTGTACTGAGAATAACTATTTTACTATAATAATATTAATAGTTAATTTATTAAGGGGTCTACCCACTTTAGATGCGCTAAAATGAAGGCTGTTTTCAAGAATTTTTCTAATTGGTTTATATTATAAATATTGACATATAAGTTGTTAGACTAAAGAAATACACTTCCGAAATACATGAAAAAATTTTTGTTATTTGTTTTTTTAAAATTTGATATGCATGTAAATGGTAGTTGAAAAAAATCCCCCAAAAAAGACGGGTTCACGCTGTTGATGAAATCTCTGACATGGATTGTCCGAAACCAAAAAATCAAAAAGTTTTGGATTCAGTGTGGTAATAGCTATTGCGCATATCAAGGGATTTTTTATTTTTGCAAAATTGACAAAATGGCGGACATTTTTCGAAAAATTAAAGAAAACCGTGTGTTAGTTTTTTCGAAAAATGTCCGCCATTTTGTCAATTTTGCAAAAATAAAAAATCCCTTGATATGCGCAATAGCTATTACCACACTGAATCCAAAACTTTTTGATTTTTTGGTTTCGGACAATCCATGTCAGAGATTTCATCAACAGCGTGGACCCATCTTTTTTGGGGGATTTTTTTTCAACTACCATTTACATGCATATCAAATTTTAAAAAAACAAATAACAAAAATTTTTTCATGTATTTCGGAAGTGTATTTCTTTAGTCTAACAACTTATATGTCAATATTTATAATATAAACCAATTAGAAAAATTCTTGAAAACAGCCTTCATTTTAGCACGTCTAAAGTGGGTAGACCCCTTAATAATAATAATAATAATTAATATTAACCCACATAGTACGACGAGGTCATTTTAAAACTTCTGCCATTATAGTAAGCTCACACAGTAAAGCTAAAGTAAGCTTACACAGTAAGGTCGTGGTAAGTTTACATGGTAAGGTTGTGGTAGGTTTACATGGTAAGGTTGTGGTAAGCTTCCTGTAAGGTTACTGTAAACATAGAGTAATAAGAAAATATATTAAAAATAATTATATTATAATATATATTATATTATAAATTTTTTTTATAAAAAATTATATATTTGGTAAAGTACTTCATGAACCCTAATAGGGTTTGTTAAATAAAATTTACTGCGCATAAATATTAATAAAATTTATTTATTAATAACATTCTATGTGTACAGTAATAACCTTACAGCAACTTTACAGTAACCTTACATGAAGCTTACAACAACCTTAATGTGTAAGCTTACCACAACTTTACCATGTTAACTTACTACGACTTTACAGTGTGAGCTTACTGTAATGGCGGAAGTTTTAAAATGACTTCAAGTTTACGGTAGGCTTACACGGTAACCTTACAAATCCTACAGATATCCTTACAGTAACCTCACAGCAAGAAGTCGTGCTATGTGGGAATATTACTGTAATAATATAATATTATAATAATACTATAATGATAATAAATTAATATAATAATATTAGTAATATAAATAAATTTTCCCAATAAAAAAGTAAAAAAATCATATTTTGGAATTTGAAATTTTTTGTATTTGTATATATCGAAATTTAAAAAAAAACTCAAGAAGTTTATGAAAGTAAAACTCTTTCTCGCAGCAGCTCAACTTTATATATATATGTACAAAAAAGAAGCGAATAATATTAGCATATCTTCGGCTCTACAAAGAATATCTTGCATGATAGAGCACGTTGAACGTCTTCTATATATCGCGTCCATAAGAGCAGTTAAGAAGAAAGATTGATGGAATTTTCGAAGCAGTCTCCTGTCTTCGAGATCTCACACGTTTTCTCTCTCTCTCTCTCTCTCTCTCTCTCTCTCTCTCTCTCTCTCTCTCTCTCTCTCTCTCTCTCTCTCTCTCTCTCTCTCTCTCTCTCTCTCTCTCTCTCTCTCTCTCTCTCTTTGACTTTCAACCTAACTGTAACGCCTCGCGGTGATTGAAACAAATCGTTAGAAGAAACTTCCAATAAATCGGACAGCTGTTATATTGAACTGACGTTGACTTGGAAAAATTCTCAGACACATAGCGCGCTTCCAAAATCGACTATTTTTCCTCTCCCCCCCCCCACCTTTCTATTGATATTGCACGATAGTCACACACATTTCTCGCTTGAAATCAAATTGAAGAGAACATGCACAAAATTTTTCCGCAGTGGAAAATAGCAGATTTAACTGTCAGAAAAATATATTTTATAGACAAGAGAGAAGAATTTCTCATTTTGTTGTAAAAGCTTTTTGGTCAAAACTTTTAGAAAGATTATATAATTCTGTACGATTATTATATCAATATTATTGGAAATATAGAAAACTTAAAATTCATACAAGCGATTTAAAAAAGATAAAAATAAGACCGAATTGACTGCTTGTAGTTATGATTCTCAACTGTCAGGGGTATAAATAAACATCACGTGTTTTCTAAATTAGTTTTGTAAAAATGAAAAATAAGATTACTAAATACTTTAAATGAAAATTTCGTATATAATTTCGGGTAAATATAAAAAATATGATTTAGAACCGAAAAGAAATGGTACGATGATGGTAAAAGAACATTTTTAAAATTACTATCCATCGTCCAGAAGAAATTATGAGACAAGAGCGCCTCACTACAGCCTCATTTCTCAGTCTTTTCTCTCTTTCTCTCTCTCTCTCTCTCCCTCGCAGTTCTTGGCAAAACACTCGAATGATGAAGTACCTATACATACTCCTTTGGTCTTCTCTATACTATACTGGGCCACATGCCATCGTTATTTTCTCTACTACCCTCGTCTTTTCTATCTTCATTTTTTCGAGGCGAAAAATAATCGCCAAACCGCGTCGTTCAACAGTCACGTTCGAAAAAATTACTCCACCAAAAGAAATCGAAATTAAAATCAAAAGCTTACATTTAAAAAAAGAAGCCGGATTTTTTTTCTGTCGGTGCAATTATAAATACTAATTTATTTTTATAAAAAAGTATTTTTCATTTTACTTTATAAAAAAGCTAAATAAAAAAGGGACGCATGATTATGTTCTAAAAATCATTAGTCAGAATTTTTATTTTATCGAATTTCAGTTATCATAATTATTTTTTTTATTTCTTCAAATTTTTATTTGCTCGAATTTTCATTTAAGATAATAGGCATTTTAAAGAATTCGTATTGGGTAGAATTTCATTGCATAGAATTTTCACTTTATTCTTACAGATGAATTTTCATTTGTTCACAATTTTATAATTTTTGATTAGTCGATTTTAAAAATAGCGCCGAAATCTTTTTGTCGATTGTTTATTCGGTCATTTGCAATTTCGGACAAATAAAAATTCTATTAATTAAAAATTTTGTTAAATGATTTTTCCTTTTTCGGTTAAATAAAAATTCTGTAGTATAAAAAATCAGTTATATGGAAATTATATATCAAATAATAATTCGAACAAATGAAAATTCATCTGAAAGAATAAAATGAAAATTCTATGCAATGAAATTTTACCCAATAAAAATTCTTTAAAATGCCTATTATGTTAAATGAAAATTCACGCAAATAAAAATTCGGACAAATAAAAATTCTAACAAATAAAAATTCGAACAAATAAAAATTCTGTGAAATGAATTTTCGGATATATAAAAATTAAGTAAAGGCCTGAGCAGAATAGAAACGTAACCGGAATCGTAAACGGAATAATGAGTTAGGACAAACAATATGTCTATCCTTCTCTAACTCATTCTCCCGGTTGCGTTTGCGATTACGATTCCAGTTACGTTTTTATTCAGTTAGGTCTTAATATAGATAATCGGTTTGATGAAAATTCTGCAAAATACTAATTTAAAAAATAAAAATTCGGCTCAAAACTAATTATGACAAATGAAATTCGATTAAATTAAAATTCTGACTAATGATTTTTAGAACATAATTACACTCAAAAAAAAATTGAATTCTTTGAATCAAACTTCAGGCAACTTCAAATATAACCAAAATCATCATGGCAAATCAACACATATATTTTCATCAAATAAATAATAATTTCCACATTTTGACAAAAATTTAATTATTTGTGATATAAATGGCGGTTTCGTGTAATTCGGAAATATATGACTCACGAGGAGGAGAATATTATGAAAAACCCTACGAGGAGATTTCACATGAGATTGACAATAATTTTATGTCAATCAAAGTACCAAAAAACATCGGACAAATAGAAGCGGTTCAAGAAAGTACAACGCCTTTAAATTCCATTCGTGTCAATTGTGCACATGGTAAAACTATTTTTGAATATTTTCTAAATAAACTTTTTCTCACAATTGTCATTACATTTACAAATTTAATTATTTTTCATAGAAAATATTTGCCGAGAAGAGTGTACAAAAGTTAATATTATTCCAAACAGGAAACCACCAGCAAAAAAACCAGAAGAAGAATTATTTTTACTCAGATGCAAAAAGCGTGTCTTGCAAACAGATACCGTGGAACACACCCTTGAAATAGAATTAAAAGCACCCCGAAATTATCGACCCTTGCCTAAACCAGGACCACCTCCACCAATTATAGAAATTCCATCTCTTTCCACAGGTAAAAATGGAAAGAGCAAAAAAATCAAGAAAAAAAAGAAAAAATAAAATATATATAAAAAAAACAATAATTGTTAAATAATAGAACGAAAACAATTTTTCACTATAATAAAAAAAATCCGAATATTGAAAGTAAAAAATTTTAAATGTTTATTAAAACTAATTTTAAACTGCATATCATCGATTTTTTCTTTTTATCGAAAAATTTTTCTTTTTTATTATTTATCAAAACTGCACTCATCTTCGAGGAGAAAAAAAATTCGTATTCTGATAACACAACCGATAAAAAAATAGAAACGGTAATTTGAAAAAATAAAATTTTAAAATAACGTTAGATATTGTAAAATTTTAAAAAGACTAAAAAAAACTTGTTTTCCATTTTCATTTGTTTAAATTTTAAATTGAATACATTATAACAGGCCTCGGATCAACTTTAAGGCACAAAAAAAGTCGTTTTAGTCGATTCATATACCAAAAAAAGTCGAAAAAGTCGATTTTTTTAATTTAACAAAATTTAATTGGTTAATGAATATTTTACTTTAAATAACTAATGTTATTAGATATTAAATTCATTTTATTGATTTTGTAATGAGAAAAATTCTTTAATGAATATTATCAAGAAAATTTATTTCGAATATTTTAGAATTGAACAATTGAAAGACAAATTTTCAAAATTTTATTTAAGTAGGACAAGTTTCTAAAAAAAAATTTTTTAAATTCCATTTTTATAATTTTTTTAAATTTGATTTAATCAATTAATTCGAATTTAAAATTTTATCATAGTTTTTAGTTTTGATGGTCAAGAAAATTTCAGGCAATACTTAATCAAGTTTTACAGATTTTTAAATAATAATTTTGGAAAAGTTAAAGTTAAAATTTTTAAAAATAATTAAATTTCAAAAATTTTTGTTAATTTTCAGACAATAATTAAATTATTATCGTTTATGTTTGAAATAAATAAATCTTCAATACAGAACTAAAAATAATTTATCAAATAATTTTAGATAACATTTTTTACAAGTAATTGAATTTTCAAAGATTTAAAATTTTGATTTTTTGAAATTAATTCAACTTCAATTGATTTTTAATTTAAAATTTTTTATGATTTCACTAAAACATTTTATTAGAAATTGCAGACAAAAATACAATAATTTGAAAAATTTTTAATTGAAAAATGCTTTCAGATAATTGATTTTTCAAAGAATATTATAAAAATCATTAAAAATATCTAAAATTTTGTCAAATAATTAAATTTTAAGTGATTTTGAATTAAAATTTTTTGGTAATTTTATTTGATAATTTTTTTTTAAATTATAAACAATTATTAAATTTCATAAAAATTTTAATTGAAAAATAGTTTAAGATAATTGAATTTTTGAAGAATTTTATTAAAATTATTAAAAATAATTAATTTAGTGAAGAATTTTGGTTAAAAATTTGTTAATTAATTGAAATAAAGAAGATTTGAAGAAGATCTGAATTGAATATTAAAAAAACGTATTTTGTTTAAAAATTATTTTTTTAATTTAAAAAAAAGGCGAAAAAGTTGTTTTTATTAAAATAAGTCGAAAAAAGTAGTATAATCCGAGGCCTGATTATAATATCCAAAAAGAATTTAATTTTCCATTGACATAATAATTTTTCAATATTAATTTATTATTTTAATAAAATGGATATAAAATTTAAAAAAGAAAAATTTGAACAATATCATATTTTGCAAATTGAAAGACATCACAAATAAATAAAATTAATTTTAAAAAATAATTTTCACCCATAAAATAGGGTTCCTCTGTATACTAATTACTTTCCTGTTCATATTCGATATATCGATACAAACAAAAGTGCTGCCACCACAACAAGAAAATCATATGTCAGTTATTCCCTTCATTCGCTGCTTGCTGTTTGTTGTATAAACGAAGGTATGTAAAATTACTTTTTTCAATTTCTTTATTCTTTTTTCTGTCTATCGATTTTATAGTATTTTAATCAGATTAATTTCTATTTTCGCTTATCGAGAAAACAGTTCATGAAGTTAAAGTGTCAAAAAACAATAAAAGCACGTGGGCACTGAAATTTTGATTCAGAATATTCTGAATTATTATGATTATATATCAGTCATCAACTAACATAAATAACTTATCAAGTGAAATAATTTGATTTGTATAAAAGTAATATCTGTTTAAAAGTAACTAAGATTTCAGTCGATAACGTAGGTGCTATGCATATATAAATAAACCGACTGTAGAAAATAACAAAAGAAAAACCAAACAATAATATCACGGATAAAAACAAATTTAGAAGATTCTTATTATCAATGCTGATTTTTACAGTTTCTCTAAATTATATAGAATCATTAAGAAAAATTTATTATTTTAATTGATATTATACTGATAGTGTCATCGTATACAAATGATTGCAATTTCTCATAATATGTAGGCGAATACTTTGATAATTAAAGTAAGATTAAGGTATCACATCGGTAAAACCGTTTTCTATAGATTTTCTTGAAAATTTTACCATATGTTTTTATTATCATTCTTGACAAATTTGCAAAATATGAAGAATTTTCGCCGTACGAAACCAGAGATATTAGCAATCTCAATAATATAAAAATTATTATTTAAAAAGAAAGTTAATTAGGAAGTTACAAAGTTATTTAAAAACAGTATGAATCAATTAATTGATATAAATTTTGTTTTATTTATTATATTCGGTTCTAAATGCTTAAAAAAAATTAATTAATTAAAAATATATTTTCAAAATTAACTTCTTTTTCTTTTAACAAAAATCATTGAAGATATATTGTTATTCATTAAATTTTTTTTCTTATTTTTCAGTTTTGGAAATAAAAATGAGCGATTCTGAAACATACGATTCTGATACACATTATTGTTCGGAAAATGAAATTGATTCTAATTCCAATTTAGAAAATGAATCTGATATTGTAACTGCATCATCTGAAAACGATGAATTAATATCAGATGACGATACAGAATTCAATTCCAGTTTACAAAATGAATCTGCTATTGTAATTGAATCATCTGAAAATGATGAATTAATATCAGATATCAATACAGAATTAAATTCCAATTTGGAAAATGAATTTTTTATGGAAATTGAATTAATTGAAAACAATGAATCAATACAAGATTTGACTGGAGAATTGAATTCCAGTTTGGAAACTGAATTAATTGAAAATAATGAATCAGTATCAGATTTCACTGCAGAATTGAATTCGGTTACGCCTCAAGAAACACAGTGTCATGAAGCTTGTATGAAATTAAACAAAATATTCTCCAATATTGATCCTGAAGTTATTAAAAGGATTTACATTCGCCAAGCGAATGATACCAATTTAAAGAATGAAGATTTATTAAATGCCGTTGTTGAAGAGATTTTAAATAAAGAAACAAACAGAAATCAATTTGAAATGTCTATGGATGTACAGGAATCAAAAAATGAAACATTTGAAGCAACAGCGTTTTCAGGGACTGAAGAATTAGAAAATAATGCTCTAGAAACAAATGAAGAGGATGAAAATGAGAATGAAGAAGAAACAGAATTTGAACCTTTTGATGTTGAACAATTTTTAATAGTAAAACCAAATGCAGTAGAATATTTTGAAAATCCTGCAAGAAAATGTGAATATAGTCCAACTATGTTCGAATTATTAAAAAACTATTTCAGAAAGTTAACGGTAAATATTTTAATTTGTATATTAATTTTATATTACTTATATTATAGCATGCATGCCATCAATTGCATTTAAAAATTTTATAATTAATTATTTTTTTCTACTTTTATTTTACTAGCATTTTATCAAATAATTTTCCTGATCCAGATGAACCAAAAGTTCTGAACGTTCAAATGAACTAAAATATTTTTTTCAATCTAAAAATTATTAAAAATTATAATATCAATGTAAAATAAAACAGTAAATTAAACAATTAATAAATTAATAACTTCTTTTTAGATATCTAAAACAATATTTTGTAATAAAATTCGTATTTAAAAAAGTCGCAAAAAAAATTTTGTTCATTTGAACGTTCAAAACTTTTTACTCATTGATCCAGAATTTTTTTTTAATTGCAATAACATTAAAAAAGAATAAAACAAATTTTACTTTATAGGTATCAACCATAACCGAGGAGTATACGAAAAAGGGATTCAATGCTGTTAAAACATTTCAATTATTAAAAATTATGAACAACGAAATTAAAATAAATCGAGAGAAAACAAAAATAGAAGCAGAAAATTTGCAGGCTATGTTTGAATTCAATTATATAATTCATAGAGAAAGTATACATGATTTTATTGCACAGCAAATAGATCGTGAAGAAATTATACTTCAAATGATGAGGGTTAGTGAAATTGTATTAAAAAATTTTCATCAAAAAAAGCAGTAATTAAAATTTTGTAAAAATAGAGAAAATTTATCATAACAAAATTAATATTAAAAAACAAGTTAAAAAACTATTAAAAATATATTAAAATTTTTTTCAGGAAAATGAGGAACAATTAGAATGCGAATGTTGTTATGAGAAGATAAATTCTTCATCAAAATTGGCAATAACTTGTCAAGAAGGACACGTTTTCTGCAATAGATGTGCAATTCTAGGAACAAATACTGAATTAGCAAAAGGTTGCCCCCGTATAAAATGCTTTCAAGAATGTAACAGCGAATTTAATTTAAATTCATTGCAAAAAATTCTTACGCCAGATAAATTCAAAATTCTTTTGTCAAAAGTACAAGAAGGAGAAATAGCAGCAGCTAAAATCGAAGGATTAGTATCGTGTCCATTTTGTTATTATGCTTCAATTCCACCGGAAAATGATAAAATTTTCACCTGCATGAATCTCGATTGTGGAAAAAAGTCCTGCAGGTAGAGAAAAATTAATAATATTTAAAATAAAATTTATTACTAATAATTTAGTTATGCTATTTTTTAAACTTAAATCTTGAAATTTAATAGATTGTGCAAAAAACTGGATCACTCGCCAAAAGAATGTGAGAGAATAGAAAAAAATAAAAAAGCACGTTTGATTTTGGAAGAAAAAATGACAGCTGCTTTAGTACGAAAATGCAGATGTGGTAAAGAAATAATTAAAGATGGCGGGTGTAACGTTGTTACTTGTTCTTGTGGGGAAAGTTTTTGCTATTTTTGTGGAAAGTCAGGTATTACACATGATCACATATCACGAGGGTCAGTATTTATTATTATTATTATTTTCTTTTAAATTCGCTTTTCGCCTACAAGAATTTCAAAATATTTTTATTTATTTTTAGATGTGGTACTCCTATTACTGCTAATACAGATGCCTCTAATGTTGTGTATGTTGCACAAAAAATAAAAAATGAACTACTCAAAATTGATCCTAATCTCGAAATTAATATGGATTCAATTCTTCCAACAGTTCATCATAACTCTCATACAACAATTGTTTCGGTAAAATATTTTAACTTCCAAAATTTATTTTGCATAATTTTTATTCAAATTATCCAATTATTTTAACGAGATTTAAAAATAATTATACTAAATTGTTAAAAAAAATCAACTTACCAATATCTTTTGAATATCTTTCCAGACCCATGCTCTAACGGAATCATCAACACTTCCGGAATTGTAAGATCTTTCTATTATCCTGAAAATAGAAAACCATATCATGAATATATTTTTTATTAAGATTTAAATTATTATTTTAATTATTGATATCAGTTAAAATTGTTTTTATTTTTAATTTAACGTAAAAACCATTACTTTTTTTTCATCGATTAAAAAAATGTTCACTTTTAGTTTTGTTTTGTACACTTTTTATTGGTTATCGGTTTTTCATTTCAGTGAACGTCGAATAAAGTATATATCTATTTTCTGAATGATCCGCAATACAAACTGTATTAAATTTCGATACGTTTTAATATTAACGATATTACACTTAAAAATAATTCAACATCTTTGAATTGAAGTTCAGTAAAATTTTTTTTTTTTTAATAAATCAATTTAATTTTGTTAAATTATCAAGTTATGTTTGAAAATCGATGATGAAAAATCAATGTATGTATTAATGTTACTTGAAAATAAAGTTTGAATACAAAAACAATTATCCGAAGTACAATTTAACCTCAAATGTTAAGTACATATATTATTACACTAATTTTTCATTATTGAGAAATTAATAATGTTGTTCATATATTTTGAGGTTATTAGATAGAGAAAATAATTTAATTACTGAAAAAAGATTGTTAAATGATGAAATTAAAATAATTTTAAATGAATACTAGATTTTCAGATATGCGCAATGCAAATATCCGGATAGACAAAAATAATATATTTTTTAAAATAATAAAATGATTGAATTACCTTAAATTCCTCATCTTTAAGCTTCTAGAAACTCGTAACACTATCAAATTTAACTATTTTTTGTGAATTTTATAAAACTGTAAACTGGATTTGTAGACACAACTTTTGGAGGTGTGGCACAAATCGAAAATTTGCAAAGATGGTAAATTTTCATCTTTTCTTATCACGATACTTCAAATAATTATTAATTTCATATTTATATTGACATTCGAGTAAAAATCACTAATAAAAAACACTATTTTAAATGTTAAAATAATTAATTTATAAAGATAAAATGTTCACAACACTTTATTTCCTTCGTTCCCATTCAGAAGTGTTCAGATGTGAAAAACCGCCAAAATAAAACGAGTTGATAACTACGTAAGTCAAACTAACCTCTTTAAATAATTTTAATAAATTAAATTATTAACTCAAGTTAAATAATTTGCACTTTTAAAAAGCAAAAATAAATAAATCAATAAAAATAGTTAATTTTTTTTTATAAAAATTTTTTATTGAAAACTAAAAAATGTTCATAATTTGAAAATAACTGTAATTTGTACCGGAAGTTGAGGGTATCATATTCATTTCCGTAAACCTTTGTGTTGTGTGCTTTAAGAAAGTCGCCATTTTTATTACCACATTGAGTTATTCACAGTGACTTTTATTACGTGCATACTGTGAAATATAAAGCTAAATTTAAAATCTGGCTATTTTAATGGCATTTAAATGTGTAATCAGAGGCGTTCATGAAGGCAGATCGTTGACTGCTGATCCGGCTTACTGACCAGTAAGTTGTTAACCTCCTCGTGGTATTGTTTGATTTTATGTTAAACGAAGTACTGTGCTGGTCGCGGAACTTATTCTAGGGTAAACATATTTTTTTTTTTTTATTTTATTAAATTAAATACATTACATAAAATATTTACCATAAATTGTGTCAGAATAGATATTTTCTAAATTTACTATTTATTGGTTAGAATGCGAGTGGCGTTACAAACATTTTATTAATAATACTGTAAAATTTATATTAATTTACATTAATATAATAAAAGTTTTATTCATCTTTGTTTAAAATTTTCTTTTTCAAAGACGCATTTATGTATATTATTTTATCATAGCAAGATAAAGAATTTCTTGAAATTTTACGTTGTGTTATCGTTCATCTCTACATTCACAATTATGTATAACCGGAAATATACATACTTATACTTGATTTTAACTATGACAGTTTTCATAACATTTTTATTGTGTATTTATTTAATTTCAAATTTTCACAGGTTGAAATTTGTGCTATATATTATTTAAATTAAAAAAAAAATGAATAACCCCGCGAGCACAAGTTCTGGTGTAAGAGAAGATCTTCCGCCATATAAACAAAATGTTTATTACAAAATTAGAAGCATATTTCCAAATATAGATGCACAATATATAAAAAATATGATTTTGAATCCTAACACATATGGAATAGAGGATTCTGAAAACAGTGAACAATTGATTGTCAATATAACTGAAAATTTATTAGCAAATGGAGCCGATCATGTGGATTTAGAGAATGTTGGAGTCAATTTAGAACCATGGAGATTTGAAACTGCTGCTGCTTATGATGTTCAAGCAGAAAGATTAATTGGCATTTTCCCAGATGCCGATCCTGAGTATTTAAAAAATTATGCCAAAACAAATTTTAATAATCCAGAAAAAATACATACATTTATTGAAGACAATTTAATAGAAAAAAAATACCCAACTCGTGATGATTATGTAAAACGAAAAATATTCGAAAATGAATTTAACAAATATTTTACCAAGTTTTCTGCAAAAGAATTTCTTAAAGAAATTCCAAACCCTGTTCAATATTTTGAAAATATTAACAGGAATTCTCAAGATAATGTTCTCATACTCGCACTTTTGCTCGAACTTTTTAATAATTTGGATGTAAGTATTTTGACATTTCAATTAGTAATTATTTTTTTTTTTTTGTATATTAATTGTAATTAATATATAATTTTTTTTTCTTTATTTAACAGCAAAGTTTGATCCACAAAGAATTTACTTCTTGTAAGTATAATCCAAGTTTAACAGCGAAAATTTTGGAAGATAAACACAATGGAATTTTAAAACCAATTTCAAGAGATTCGTTAAAAAACTTACAAAATCAAGTGCAAGAGTTTTCTTTTATTTGTAATAGAAGACTTATTGATAATGAGATGAATTTAAATGATTCACAAGAAGACTTATTACAGTGTGAAGTATGCTTTAATTTTGATTCACCATCAAAAAGTTCGACATGTGACAATGGTCACATTTTTTGCAATCAATGCATTTCTTTTGGCACAGAATGTAAAATTGCAGATGGTATTTATCATATTGCCTGTTTCGCTAACTGTAAAAGTTCTTTTAGTCAAAAGACCTTGGAAAATGTTTTAAATTCCAAAATTTATAATATTTTGATGAAGAAATGGGAAGAGGAAGCAATTGCTGCAGCGGCAATCAATTTAGAAAGCTGTCCATTTTGTAATTTAATGGTTGAAGTGCCAGAAGAGAGCAAAATATTTTTCTGTATGAACGAAGATTGTAAAAAACAATCATGCAGGTTAAAAAAAATTTTTTTTGATTCAATATTGAAAAATTATTTTAATCGAAACACTAAAAATAGATTTCTACTAAATGATGAATTTTATATTTTGAGCAAAATTTTTATCCAATCGGAATTACACAATATTTTACACCCTACTTTTATGTAAAATTAATACGTATATGCAAAATTTATATATTTTTTACAATATAATAGTTTTATTAATAAAATAAATAAATTTTCTAGGCGCTGTAAGAAACTTAATCATCTTCCTTACGAGTGCGAAGATGTTTTAGAGTTACAAAAGGCTCGATTATACCTAGAGGAGAAGATGACTAGGGCCCTAATTAGAAGTTGCTTGAATTGTGGAAAAGAATTTTTAAAATCAGATGGATGTAACAGAATGAGTTGCCCATGTGGCTCTTCGCAATGTTATCTCTGTGATAAACCTGTGTCTAATACGGATTATAAACATTTTAACGGCCAAGGAGCAAGCAGGCATGACTTGTATGTTAATTTTATATTTTATAGTAAATAATAACAATATATGTAAAAAAAATCTTGATCTTAGAGAGTTTTAAAAAAATACAGGTGCCCTTTGTACTCGGATGATAAATATCAAGAAGCGCAAGTAGTTCTTGAAGTGGCAAAAATTACTAAAGAGGAGATTTTAAAAAAAAATCCAGATTTCGATGAAGATGTGGTTACGAAATTATTGCCAATATTACCTGAAAGAGCAGAAGGTCCGCATGAACAAATTCCAAATTCAAATCAACTTCCCGTAAGTACATATTTACATTGAAATGTAATTTTCTTCAAATAGGAAGGAAAAAAAATTAACACGATCATTATTTTTCAGGAGCACGCTTTAAAAGTCGCCAAAGCGATTGCCCCTTGAAATTTTTTATTTTTCAAAAAGTACATTTTTTTTAATTGTTTACGATTTTCAAGAAAAAAATGAATTTTTCTTTTTTGTTTATATCAGTGATATTAAGATTACTTATTTTCGTTTTATAATTAACTTAGACTTAAGCACAAAAAAATTAAATTAATATTAAAAGTTTAGAATAATTGTTCTATCTTTTTTAAGAATCAAAGTAATATTAATAGTTGTTTTTTTACAAATAAATTTATTAATAAGTTCTTTTCAATTTTTATTTGAAAAATAAAATTCAAATAGAAATGAAAAACACATTTTTTCTTGTAGAAAAATTAGAATCTAATGGAAAAAATGTTTAATTTATTATCACATATGTAAACAAAACAAAATTTTTGAACGTATTCTAAAAGGTAGGTGGGGGTACAGTTAGAAAGACAATCTCATTGGAATTCCATATATCGATTGTGTATGTCGACTTAAAGTGGGAAACGAAACCTCACGTGACATACCGAGTTTCCCAGGGATTTTCAAACCCTCGCGATATTCGAATCCGTGCTGAGAATTCAAACACGAGATGGAAAAGCCTCGTTTTCTGTATTGCTAAAATTTCGATATTATAGTATGAGAGAATTATTCCGCTCAACAATATTGAATTATTTGAAACTATTGATAGTTTATTAATTTCGAAATTGTTTCAATTTTGAAAAAAATACATTCTTACAAAAAAAATTATTTCAGACAGTTTTATGGCTTTTTACTAATAAAAGATTTTAACTTTTAAATTTAGATAATCGAGAATGAGGAAGTATTTAAACATATTTAATAGAATTATCTATTTTAGTAATTTTATTTAAATTTGTAAATTTAGAAATTCCAGTGTTAAAATTTTAAAGGGATGAATATGTAAAAATATCGCACTGAGAATTGCGAGTTTAAACAAATCTTTAAAATTTCCCAACTCGGGAATTTGTGAATTTGACAAATTTAAATAAAAATGAAAATAGAAAAAAATAATTTAATTAAATATTGTTTATCCTATTAATAATTTATGTAATCGAAATTATTTCTGCAATTTTTAATTACGGGTTTTAATGTTTTTAAACTATTTCTACGTTATACATTTTTTTCTCAATTGCTTTTGACAATTGTCGCAGTTTATTAATATTCACAAATAGTTTAATTTTTTTATGTCATGAATATTTAATTAGAAGTTCAATTTTCAATTTAATCAATGAAAGGGCGCGAGTCATAAACATATAAATTTGTTTCGAGATCAATCTCGCCACCTGTTTCAGATTTATATGTTGCGAGTATTATTAACAGCGGTCATAAAGTTTAAGATAAGCTTATTAGTTCCACATTTCCCCTTTTGTATACTGTTTCTAATGTGGTATATAGGTGAATTCAAGCTGTTGTCGGAATTTAAACAGCAGTCTCTTTATCTTATTAATAGCCTCGTAAAACAAAGAACTGGGAGGTAATAATTTGTTATTTGCGTAAACGGGAAAACGAAATTAAACAAATTTTCTTCATTTACATTTTTCTTGTTTTTTTTTTTTTAAGGGAAGTAAAAAATTTATGGAATTTTATTATTGTTGCTTTTTCATTGTCTAATTTGATTCACGAAAGAGAAATATTGTAATCAAGTTTTAAAAGCAGTGCTTTTCATTAATGATGAATGAGAAATAACAAAAGCTCCAAGTATATATATGTATATATATTCAGAAAGGAAATAATGAAACAGTCGAGGAAAGCAGTAACAGTATTTTCTAATTCGATGGGCTTCACATTTGCATTTCTCGAATATCCTCTTGAAATAGTCGTATTAGTTTTTTTTCTGATGTAAAAAAAAAGTTTTTCATCCTAGAATTTATTTTGCGCAGTAATTATTTAAGGGCAAATTACATATTAATAAATTTAATTATAAGTATAAATACTTAAATAATTATTGTTGCTTAAAAGTTATTTTTTAATTATAATTAATAATTATTTTGAAATTCGTAGATCAAAATCAATATTACTTTATTATCCTCAAAGAAAATTAAAAGAAATATTTGCGAATTTTGCTTTCTTTAAATGTAAATTTTTTTTCGAATTCTTATTTGTACTTATATCGCTGAGTCCATCTAGAGCACGGAGGCAGAATTAGAAAGTAACGCGTTACCTACTGCGGGGAATGAAAAATCTTTTATCCTAGAGAAGTAGCATAACAGATATCTTTTTTATACCATAATAAAAAAATAAGTTGATTAAATAATTAAATTTAAAAAAATAAAATTAAAACAATTTTTTGAATTTCAGTACTATTATTATTCATATTATTAATATATTATTTTGTAATTTATAATAATATAAATATGTCATTATTATTATTAATAATAATAATTCATTAAAATTATTAGTTTTTTAAAAAGGTTGAAGCCCACTTTGAAAATATTACAAATTTGTTTACTGTCTTGACATTTCTATTATTGGTGTGTCATTTTTTATCCTGACAACTGTTCATAGAAGTGACAAATATTTTTTCATATTTTTAAAACTAGTAAATGTTTAAATTTATAAACCAAATTGAAAATTGACATCGACGCTGAGTTACGAGGCAGACAATAAATTTATTCGTTACTTCTGAGAGGCAATACAGACTTAGCTTTTAGACTTAAGAAAATGGGGGAAGGTGTACATAAAAGAAGTTCTTCAAATCAGCAAGATCAAATTGAAAAGCAACTTCCAGGTAAGCATTACGAAATAATTTATTTTTTTTTAAATAATAAAAATCAATATTTATTTTCTAAATATATTTGTATTTATATTTTAATATCAAAACAAATTTCACATTGTTATATTTTACCTATTATATTTAAAAAATATTTTTAAAAAAGAATAAAACTATTTTATTATAACATTTTAAATGTCAGTTTCAGAATGAAAAAACTTGTGCTTTTGTATGTCATTTCAATGGCAATGATGGGATTCGGAAAACCATGCAAATATTGGTGCAAAACGGACAACTGGGAATATTACTGTTGTCCAAAGAATGATGAAAAGCCAAAAGAAGAAAATTCTATGACATCAATGATGGGAATTTTAATACCGCATTTGTGGTTCGCTCTTGGATTTCCGAAAATTTATCATCATGCACAAATTCCTTGGGAGGAAAAGTCAGAACATGTGAAAAAATGTCCACCTGTGAGGCACGCTTGTCCAAGGAGCAACGATTGGTGGTATGATGCTCCAATTTCTTGTTATAATGACGATGAATGCATTTCTTCCGCGAAGTGTTGTTTCGACATTTGTCTTAATCATAAAACTTGCAAGCCTGCAGTTTAGTTATACTTATTCAATAGTATAGTCATATTTTTAGTTTAAATATTAATTTATTTATTTATAAATAAATGAAGAAAATGTACAATAAGTCTATTATTTAGTAAAATAATAGTTTAGAATTTTTTTTCTAATAGATAATAAAATAGAGGAAATAATTTCTGTTGTAAATATCGCTTGAAAATAATTTTTAATTTTAAAATATACAAACTACAATATATATTTCGTGAATTAAATTTTTTTATGATAAATTAACATTTTAGAAAAATTCTAAGCAGTGACTTTCAATTTTATTAAGTATCATAGAGAAAATGTGAATTTAATTTTAAAACTAAATTACCATGAGAATGACAAACAAAACCAGACAATTGGTTGGATCTATTTAAGAGGCGTGCGAATTTCCGAAAATGTTTACTATCCCCAAAAATATGACCCCGAATAGTCTGGTATCCCAATTACAAAAGTCATGATTAATCTACCTCGTAGATGTCATCATTATATTATCGTAGTTTCGGTCGATATAAAAAAAAATATGAGCCTCTCGATTTCTAAATCTCATAATAGATAAAAACAAATTTTTATACATCCTTAGAAATTATAATTCTTTTATTTTTAAAAATATTTTAAAAATAATTAAATTATTAATTTTCTATTATTTAATTACATTATTGAAAAATTTTATTATATTTTTAAATTGTATAGAAATATCAGTTTCAGTATTTTTAACCAAAAATTTTGCTACTTTTAAAGAGGATTGGCTCTTGAATTTTCCATATGAGAGACGAAGTTTTGGAATGAAGAAGAAGTAAAAAAGCAAAGGAAGAAGGGAAGCAGTTAAAAGAGAGTAAAACAAGAGTGGATTGGAACGTAGTTCTTGTGGGCCCTCAAAGCAAAGCAGAAGCAGCAGATGGGATGCTAGGAGTGCCCCGGCACATATCCAGTTTTAACGAATGAGGCACGCGCATAATTGGGCCCTCCAATCTGATTATTTCAATTCTTCGGACTTAATGGGCCCTAGAGGGCGCCAAACGGGATAAATTTATGCGACGTCGGCGAAAACTAGCTTTTTAGAGTATAGAAGCCAATAGTTAAATCTTATATTGGTAAAATTCACATCAAATTGAATATTTATTGATTGGTAATATTTTTTAATATTTTAAATATTCATTAATTTTTTTAAATCTTATTTTAATTTCCTTTTTTTAAAAAACAATTTAATTTTCCAATTTTTAAATATTGAAAAATAATAACTTAAATGAATATGAATTCTATTTTCTATAAAAAATAATTTTTATTATTCATAAAAATTAATGTGTTTTTATAATTTTTGTGGATATTTGATATTTTTCGTATGTATTTTTAGATTGATATGAAAGGAAATGTATCCTTTTGTTATTCTGTGGTAGCAGTTGATGGTGCGGGAAAATTGATTGAACTCTTTTCAGAATATAAATATAATACATGAAATATGGGTTTTTTGTTGATTCAGGAAGAGCTTTTCAGATTCATTCAATCTGAGTGCGGAATATCAAGGGAGAGGTTGCCCTCCATCGACGAATCTTAGATGACCACCTTTATACAGTTTGAAATTGAAAGCCTGTTGGATAAGTTAACCCGATATTTGAGTAACCAGTTTCAAATGCATTCCCGCTACAGATGTTTCATCCAAGCAGCTTCCTTTTATAAGTAAGTCGGATAAAAGTATCAAATTCTTCATCTAAAGAAAAGTACTTTCTTTTTTTTTTTTATTTATTAATTTTTACTTCATTTATTTTTAAAATGTCATTATTTGCAATTTTAAGGTATAAAAATGGATATTTTAAAAATGGCCTAGAAAAATAGGTTGGTAATTAACAAAAAAAAGAGCCTAAAGGAAAAAATTTTAAAAAAATGAGGGCGAACAGGGAAACAATAATGACTGGCAGGTGCATCTTTGAAATGTCATTTTCTATATTGTTTCTGGCAGATGTCACACATTAACAGATTGAGCCCTAATTATATAATTACTCATCTTTCAAGGGGAAAATTTAATTTGTTTTTATTTATTTATTTACTATAATATAAAAAATAATAATTTAGATAGTTATTAATAATTAATTTTCATAAATATTTAGAAATCAAATCGTTATAACGGTTTTTAAATATTTTAAATTGGAGTATTTATTAAATTGAATGAAATTCACGTGGATCTTTTTTACTGAATTGAGTGAAAATTTGTTTGATGTTATATTCAAAAGGAGAAAAATATTTCTCAATGGGCTCTTGGGGCTTTAGAGTACAATTTTGGCCCCATTGTCGATTTACCGTCAGCTGCCCATTCTCAAAAGGCGTGTAACTATTCTCTTGAATTTCCGTTCCAAGATTCTACAAGTTATAACCTGTCGCTGAATTGCTTCACTTTTTTTTTCATTCAACACGCCATAACACGCTGCTTCATGACTCATTCATTATTAAGTCTGCAAATATTCCGTCTGGCAGAATTTTTTCTAAATTGCTTATCAACTTTTTTTTCTTTTAACAATTTACATATATACAATAACGATTGTTTATTTGAATTTGCAAAAAAAAATTATATTAAAATTTAATTTATTATCTAAATAAGAATAAAAATTTTTTTTATTGAGTGTTTAAAAAAAGAAACGTTTGTATACTTGAGAATTGGAGGGAAAATGGGAAATAAATCTTAGGGTACCTTTTTTTAAGGAGGAAAAAAGATCGATAGAGAAATCTATATATCGAAAAATAATGTAAAACTGCGGGAAGTTTCAGCTTCAATTTGGAAGAAACATCCGATTTCATTGTTGGTATTTGAGAAAAATGTTTTGGACTAGACAGTTGACCATTGGAATTTTGAGGTACCATTGAAAGCGGTAAAGGACCTTTTAGATTTTCAAAGATGATACTTTTTAAGATTTATTCACTGTAGCACTGTATTTTCTGGTATAGACTGAGAAATGCCTATGGCAATACTACGCATGTGCCGGTTCATTCATGGATTCCATTCATATCTTTGGGACTTCAGGTTTTACTATTTACTCCATTTTACCCAGGTACATATTTCCCGTTTTCACAAATTCTAATACAGCTCACAGGAGGAATCCTTTCACCATTCAAAATTCTAACGCCCTTATGAATTGAACAACAGTCTAGCAACAAATAAAAAAATAATGCAATATTTTACTCAACTTTCAAATATTATTTATTAATATCACTATTTAGTCTCAAATTAAAAAAAAATATTTATAAATTTGTTTTTTATATTAAATAAATTCTTATTTATTTGTTTGTTTTTCAGTTCGTGGTTATCAGATTTTGTCAACTGGGAGAAACAGTAGTAAAAAATGATGTCATCTTGTGTTCTAATATTTCATCAGGATGGAGCAAAAATTTTTGGCAGAAAGCCACTTTCTTTATCATTTGAATCGGTAAGTTTATTATATTTTCTGTTATGTATTATGTGAGTTCATTGTCATTTAATGATTTATAAAATTATCTGCGTCTACTCTGAAATTTTAAACAATATCAGACATATATTCGTGCGAACTCAATCTCTGTTTGTAACAATGATATTCGCTGATAATACTGTTTATTGTACAAACAATATTATTGTCTCCTGTGTAATAGATTATTTTTTCTCGTGGGAAACTGCAATTATTATTATGAGTGTGACTGATATTACTTTATATTTCTTTTCTTAATTATTTTTTAAATTATTTGCGGCAATTTTCTTTTTTTTTTATAAATAACTATATGGAAAAAGAAAGAATTTTTCGTCGGAAAACTTAAAACAATTTTTGCCTGTCTTGTAGTCCGGAAGTTCGAGAATGATTTAAAAAGATAATAATCTCTGAGATTTTTCCATGGGTTTACCTTTCGAAAATTAAATAAGTGGATTTTGAAGAAATGTTATGTGTTTGTAGAGATTTGAGATAAGATATAATATTTAGATTTATAGAGACGTGAGAAAATGTCAAAGGAAATTCCAGAGTCAATAGTTCTTTAAAAATTTTGTTAATTTTAAAACAAAAGAACTTTTTTTTCTAAATGTAAAGCTAATTAAATTAATTTTTTTCTAATAGTAAAAGAAAATCATTTTGAAAGGAAATTTAATTTACTGTCATAAGGACAGCTGTAAAACAACCGGAAGTTACATCCCAAAGAGGTGTTGAAACCGTTGACAGGATTCCGGATGCAGCTTTTATCGGAAAACAAAATATATATTGAGAAGGTAGTCTAAAAAAAGAAATTTAAATTTCATGAAAGTTAATAGAAAAAAGATTTTTAAAAAACTTAATATTTTGAAAAATAATTTATTAGTGCAAATGGTAAAGTGCATTAAAAAAGTGAAAGATTTTTTCTTTAATCTTATTTTGAAACATAATTGACGTGTCGACCGCACACGCGCTCGCCGGTAGAAAAGAGGGAGAAAATAAAGGGTGGGAGATGGAGGCACGCACATGGCAGGGTAGTGGGAGCTCAGTTTCTTACTCATTTGCTTTCGGTCTGTTACAACGCACGAGTCGTTTGTAAGAAAATTAAGTCTTTATCTTTTTTATTGTGATAGTCACTTTTATATATTGTTTTGATAACAACAGTTGGCATAGTGTAATGAAAAATTGCGCAATAGCGTTCATCTTTATTTTTGATAAGAAAAAAACATTTAAATTCTCTTGACTTGCGCAGTTTCAATATTATGAAATCAATTCATAGTTGATTTGTTAAAAAAAAGACGATTTTTTAATTTGAAAATTTTCTTATCGACTATTTGTATAACCTCAAAATAGAATTTATAACCTATAAATGAATTTTTGCCAATGTTTGTATAGAAATATTTGCAAAATTTTCTTCAACCACGTGGTATAAGACCGGTGAAACATTTTTTTTTGTGTTACAGACATGATGTTGTAAGTTATAAATTTACAACTTGGATATTATAAAACGTATTTCGTTAATAAAACCTGTGGAAAGTTCTGCACGCTCTGTTTCACGACAAGTCACGCCTTTCTGAAGACGAGGAACTTAATTCAAATCTTCCCTACTAAGAAAGTCAATTCACACGTGTTTCATTGAGGATGATGGTGTCAATAGACTGATAATTTCTGATGCTGAACTTGTCAACAGAAAATACAAAATTTAAGTCAATTTAATTAAGGGCAAATATCGGTGTTTTTTTTCACAAGTGAAGTGCAATGGATTCAAAGATGATAATGGAGATTTTTCTACTCGTTTTATTAACCGGCGCAGTCTTCCCAAAAAGTGAGTTATATTTTTTAATATTTTGTATACATTAAAGTAGATTTTCGTTCAATAATCACTTCTTTTGTTTTGGTAACTTTTTTTTTAATAATTGCTTAAATAATTGAAGATCATGAATGTGTTTTACAAATGCATAGATAGATTTTTTATTAACGCCTTGTATCATTGTGATACAATTTTTGAGGTTATATTAACACTACTTTCTAAATAAATTACTATAATTTTATTATTATCTTTGAAAAATTACTTTTCAAGATAAAAATTGATTTTGTTTTTTTTTTGGTACTATTTGTGACAAAAAGAAATTGAATTGCTTTTTTTTAAAAAAATGTGATAATATCTATCTAATCTTATTTATTATCACAAATAAATGAAATTATTTTGAATTCAGCTGATAATTTTCTGAAAATAATAGTGACTATATATCGAGAAGGCTGGAGAAGCAGCAATTAGCGAATTCTTGAAAATATTTAACAGTTTAGCACTCAATGTTCAGATATATATTTTGGCAAGACTTTGGAAAGTTGAAAATCATTTCAGTAATACATTGATCAAACAATTTTTATTTATAGAATAACACAGACACGAACTACCATATATTTTCTGTTCTCGGTACCATTTGCGTGAATTTATTTGTTGAAAACTTGTGAAATGTTGTTAAAAGTCGTCTTTTATCTTGTCAAGATGTAATCTCAGTTAATGGAACTTTTATCCATTTGTCAAATCTCAGTTCAACTCATCTAATAAGTAGTTTTTGTTTGAAATCAAACTTATTTCGTGTGAGCTTTAGGAAAAGATATCCTTGAACTTTACATCTTTCTTTCAATGAGATGTTATACAATTAATTGTAAAAACTTAGTTCTTGAATATTTATTAAAATTATTTAAATATAAAAAAAAGTATGTCAATTTCCGTAGACAGAGATATGAAAAGTAAATTTTTTAGGGTAAAAAAAAAATTTTAAGTTAAAAATTTATCTTTCGCTTGAAATCGACAGATATTTGTACATAATTCATCATGATTTCCGTTTTCCAATGAAGGAGAGTCGAGGAAAGATTTTAAAAAGTCCAAATAGTTGGAGACTTACTTCTAAATTCATATCGCGTGTTCAAAGCTGCGCAATTCTTAGAAAAAAAGCCGAAAAGATGATTTGTTTCTTTTTTTTTTTTGAGATAAATGTGTGATAAAAAGTTTTTTAAGTTGACATTTTATTCTTAAATATTATATTAATAGAAATGAGATTTTAGTTTAATTAAAAATTTTAAAAACAATATAATTTTAGTAATTAAATTACAATTAGAAATTAGATTTCGTAATGTACTGTTTGTTTTATATATTTTTCATCACAATTTAAAAAAAGCAATCTCGAGATATGAAGTTAATTATAGGTCATATTTTTGAATCTTGTCCCCTTTTTTTAGGATAGATTAATATAATGAAAATTTGATTCGAAAAGTGTTAATTTACTTTTTTGAGTTTATTATACGTTTCCTCGTTTTACTTGAAGATAAATCTTTTTCATCTAGTTAATTTGGAAAGTGTTACATCTAATAATATACACTCCTCCAAAATGAGCTTCATCTAATCATAGAGTCGTGCGTGTGACCGGATGTCGGACAACATCGAATATAGAAATGTGTGGCCACTTTAAGATTTATATAAATTCGTTCATCTTCTTAAAAATAAGGTTTGATTAGACGATTTCATATATCAATTAAGTAGTCGTGAGCAGTCAATAAATCCTCATTAGCAAATTAAATCTTCTTGATTCGTATAGCGGTTTCTTATATAAATTAGAAAATTGTATTCACATTTTTAAAAAAGGATCAACCCCAGTTTTTATTTTTACTACCAGTGTTGAAATTTATTTCGAGATTTCAAAATGAAAATCGTAAATATTTTAAGTAGATAATTATATATATATATATATAAATTTATTGCTTTTTTGGAATATTATTACAGAAATTTAAATTCAAAAAATGTATTTTTAGAATATTTTATTAAAACGTTTTTATTTTTTAAGTAAATAATTATTAATAGTTCTGTATTTGAAATTGAAGTTTATCTTATTGACACTCATTTAATTTAATTTGGAGAATTCGTTGCTCGGAGCTGCTTCAGGATTGCAATTATTAAACCCACGTAGCACTCGTTGCTATCTGGTTAGACATTTTTCCAACCTCCTACCTTTCAAGTGCCTTGTATGCATTCGTGTAAATTGAAATTTTCTCATTCAGTTACAATTCTCTTTATGCAATTAATATTACTTAAAAAAAATTTAAATTTCGCAAAAAAAATTGTTAATTTTTTGTTATAATTACATTAATCAACAAAAATCATTAGTTTTGACATCTCGTTCAGCTGCGGGGAGATTTCCGGTTTTCTCTGTTGTAATGAAGAGTCATCACACACTTATTGCTTTCTTTCAGTATATCGTTGCAATGATCCAGTCGTAAATCTTGGATAGCAACGAAAAGATGTTTTACGCCAACGCCCGCTTTCACGATATACTAATGGTCAAAAGGAGAGAGAGAGAGAGAAAAAGAATATCGTGGGTAGAACTGTGAATTTTTCTCAGGAATTTCGCACCGATTCAATAATATATCGAATCGACAAGATTCATCGTCGTTCTCGACGACAAACAAAAATTAATGTATTCGCAAAATCACACGAAAGGAAAGACATTTTTTTTTAGCGTTTTATATACTCAAAAGGAAGTTTATTTTTTTTACCATATAGAAAAGATTAAAAATTCTCAGCTAATAATTTATCATTTTAACAAAATATTCCGATTTTTTATTTTCTCTTATATTCCCGAACAAATCAGCAGAAATGTTAATATAAATTCTATCTCTATAGACCCGATCATCTTCTCTTATCTTTCAAAACCGATAAAAAAGTGTGTTCAAATTTTTGAAAACATGGCCTCAAACTTCTAAGGTACCATTTATTTTCAAAAGAACAGAGAAAACACATTAAAAGTTAGACCTGAGAGTTTCTCGCTTAGCTATGTGTGTATTCTATTAATTCTCTTTTAAGAGTTTTAAAAGAATTAAAAAGAAAAAAAAATCTCTGAACAAGGTGTCTTTTAAGCCGTTCAGAGGATAACGTTGATACGATTGATCGTTTTGATTATTTAATCCAAAAGGAAACTATATAGGAATTTATGTCTGGCAAATATTTGTCAAGATTGTCCGCACCTTATTAAGATAGAGTCGAAAAATCCATTTCATTGTTGTTAAGCTGTTCCTGCAACCTTTTTATTATGCACTAAAAACTTTTAAACTGAATCATCAAAATCTTTATCGAATCCAGGTAGAAATCTTTTCTTAAAAGTCAAAATTATTTAGTTTTTTTTTCTAATCGAAAATATTTTTTGTCATATAATCTATAAAAGTTTTTTTTAATGTATATTTATTTGAGACTAAACTTTACTTTTTTTCAAATTATTGGATCAAAGATCGTATTTGCGGTTAAATTTTGAAATTTTTTTTTCTCGGGAGACATTTAAAAAATGCGGGGGTAAAAATTATTTTGTTAAATATAATATATGTTAGAAAATCCGCTTCTGTCACCTCGTTGACAGTATTATTCTGACTGTGACAATAAGCCGAAAGAAACTTGAAACGCAGCAGCAGGCGTGCGCGCGTACACCTAATAACCTTAGCGGAGGTTCTTCTTTCATAAATAGCTCTCTTCTTGTAAACCTGTTTGCGAATAAACAGACCCTTTTCATTCTTCTTTACCCTCCACGTTAACAATCTTACCATCTCCCGTTTTTCTCTGCAAATTAAAATTCCCAAGAAGTCCTTTACGAAAAAATATCGTGGCATTTGTTGCATTATTATTATTATTTTTTTTTCACAATAACGCATATAAAAGAAAAATTATCATTATAAAAATATATTTTTTTTAAACTAATTTTTATTAAATTAATTTCTAAGAGAATTTTTATTTTGCAGAATTGAAAAATAATTTACGATTTAAACTAATGGATTTTATATATCGACTGTTTTGAAAGAAGGAAAAGGGTACTTGAAAAATTGAAGGATTTTATTCTGGTTGTATAAAAGTCAAGACCAAAATCAGGTTCTCGGTCAGACATACTTGAAATATAAAATGGTACTTGAATGAAGATAATCTATTGGTTGGATTGAAAAGCTTTTTTGACATATGTGAGTTTGCGAATTAGTAAATGTATGCTCGTAAAGATGCACGCATTCACAATCCGATAAAATTACATACAATTGTGCATATAGAGAGAACAGAGAGGTCTTCCGGCGTAATATTACACCAAGGCCTATTTCACATGGCTATATTACTCGGATTGAGCGCGAAGAAAACTACTATATAGCCGTTGGCATCAGAATTACTTATAATGGATGTACAGCGAATCTTCTGATTGCCTCTCTCTTTCTCTTTTATACTATGTTTACGAACGTTCATACAAAACTAGTATATAGAAGAAAAACTCGATTTTTTCCTATTCGATCAGGTTTTATTGTTGTTTGTCAGGCAATTCTAATTGCGTTTTACAAAACTAAAAAAAAAAGGAAAAAGTATCCCATTATTGATGTTGCTAGTTGAAGTTTGAGGAGAAAAACGTGAAATTAAGTTAGGATCCTATTATCTTTTGTGGTTAAAAGTTCCCTTTCGGTAAAGTCCAGAGAGACAAGTTGGCATTTGGAAAAAGTCAATTTGCCGACTGCAAAATGACCTTTGGTTGGCATCCGTCCTAATGGAGGTGCACATTTTGTTTTCGGAGTTTGCCAGAGACGATGGCAATTCTCTTGCGTTGGATATATTCCTTTCTTTGATGTTGATGCGACACTGAAGAAGCGATGATGGATGGCGCTCTGTGTTTTCCACGGGTAGCCACATTCATTTTTGGTTCAACCGGTCCAGAGGCAGGAAGTTAACTCTTCTTCTTCTTCTTGTAAATCCCCGCTCTTTCTTTCTCTCTGATACGATCTCTACTGTGATCCAAAATGATTGTGATT